GATGACAGGAGTAGTTTAGGAGGATCCCAGGCAAGAGGCTTGCGCCTCTTCGATCTGTATCCCCGTTTGTGCTAGCCATCTTATGACAACTTGTTTAACTTATATCTGTACTCAGATATTGTTGCTTCTGCTGACTTGTTTATATTCGAGCTTATGTATTCGAGCCCTCGAGGCCCCTGCCTTGTAGTATAAAGCTTGTATGACTTTAATTTGTATTTAGAGTTGTCCTATGATATCTTTCCATGGGTCCCTTATTTTGATCGTACATGTTTGTGTATAATTAGTGTATGATTAAATCTAAGGCGTGTACGATTAAATCTGAGGCGTCACAAATACTTCATAAGAGCGTGTATAATTAATGTACGATTAAATCTAAGGCGTTACAAATACTTCGTAGGAAGTGTAGGACAAGAAACGACAAATTGCCCTGGGTGTGAGCATTGTATTCAAACCTGCCTGTATTATTTCTCAACGACATAGTGGTGTGCATTTGTGTTATCCGATAATCCCAGGATCTGTCGTGTAAAAGAGTTTTCTCACTACTTATTGTTTCGCCATGTACTTTTTTACCTACTAAGAGCATCTCCAATAGCTTGTCCATATAGATGTCTATACTCGTTTTCTACGAGGTGGGCCCAAAACAGGCGTTCAACAGCTTGTCTATATGGTCGTTCAAATATACGCATCCTCTAAATCGACCTCGACAATGTCCACGCCTAGACAATATGAAGGCGTTGTCTAAACTCAGCTGTAATCATGATTTCTTCCTCTCCCCAGCAACGGCCCACCTGTCATGGTCCTTGTACATAGACGTTCTGATGCAAAATTAGATGTGTATATGAAGGAATCTTTTTAGACCATTGTCTATATAAATATATAGACATCCAAATATACACATGCTATTGGAGATGCTCTAATAGAGCGGCTATTGCTTATGTGGGGTTCACCATCGCGGATGTTTTTATAGAAAACCACTTGACTTTTATGAAAATAAACACACCGTCCAAAAGTGAGTAAAAGCAATTCGACTGTTTCTCCACAAAGAATTATACGTCGCCTTGTGCTTGTTTGACTAATAATAATCCCACATCGTGAATTTACACCCAATCTAACCAGTTCATATACGTACAAACTAATGATTTCAACAAGCGACCAAACTAATCCGCAAGCAGAGGTCAGGAGGATGAGGCAGACACGAATCGATCAAAGAAGGGAACGGGCGGATCTCGACATGGAGAACCAGATCCGGTGGGTAGTGCGAGGCAGAGGCGTCCATGGCGAGCTCCTGCTGAGAGAAGTGAGAAGGAGTAAGGAGAGGAGGAGCGGAGAACGGGCAGGGGGCGTGCTCATCTGCTTGGCTTCCCGGCGGCGCCGGCAGTCACCGGCGCGTGCGGAGGAAGGTGAGGGTCGAGGCCGGCGTGGGGCAGCGGTGGAGGGAGACGAGGGGATCGATGGGGCAATTGTGGGGATAGGTCTCCCTGGCTGCTAGGTTAACGGGAGTAGGTGGGCCGACCTCGAAATGGAAAGTTAGGTTGGGCCCGATGATGTTGGGCTGCGCTGACTGATGGGCTCCCTCTCTTCCTTTTCAATTAAAGCAAGCGTTGGGGAGTCAGGTATGATACATATATGCTCTTCCTCATTCCGGTTTGTTGACTTTTATCTCATTATCCTTTTTGTTTGTTAGTCCTATTCTTATTTCTTTCACTCATCTGTTTAGATTATAAATGCATTAAATTTTGCATGCAATGATTAAAAAAGAATGACCATGCAACATTCCTACTCATTCAGTGGGCATGACATCCATTCACCATGGTTAATGGAGACTAAAACATGATATGTATTTCTTCGACACCTCGGCATGCGCCTACCTGCCTCCCAGGACCTGCCTCCCAGGATGTTGTCATGCCACCGATGGACGTTTTAATGGACACATTTATTTATTTCCTCGTTGCAACACACGGGCATATGTACTAGTTGGTTATAAAGCAGAGTGAGAGCCTCTTTCAGAGATTTTTTCATTTCTTCTGATATCTCATTTCTTCTGATATCTCCGGACAAGACACAATGTACAGGGGCTGTCCTAGTCCACCGCCTCGGGAGCAACTGCAGTTGATGCATGTCATAAAGATTAGCAAAATTACCATCCCAGCTGACTGAGCCAGCATGGCTGCACTGCGCAGGATATGCGCCCCGTTCTACTGCTTTTCTGCATGTACTCCCTCCGTTCGGATTTAGATGTCGCGACGTTGTTTTTGCGAAAACCCCCTCCATCTATTTCCGACCGAACCCGCGGTCCTCGTCCTCGCCCTCACTCTCTTCTCCGGCTGGCCGCCGCGGTCCGCTCGGTGCTCTCCGCTGGCTCGCCGCCGCGCTGCTGCCGCGCTCTCCTCCCTCCCCCTCCCCTCCCCACCTTCTATCGCGTCGCCGTGCTCTCCTCCTCCATCTTCGGTGGCCTCGCCGCGCTCCTCTCCTCCTTCCGCGGCGACGGAGTTCAAGCTTCGACCTTTGAGTTCAAGCCAGCGACGGATTCCGTCGATGCGAGGCCTTCACCGCCGCCAAGCTCCTGGCGCCGGTGGCCGCTAGCTTCAGGGGAGACCGCATCCTCTCTCCCTCCCAGATCCTCCTGGTGCCGGTGGATTTCTGCAGGTGAAGCAGCTCGAGGATGCGGTGCAGGAGCTCGTGGCCTCGTACGAGGACTGCGCGTACCTCGCCGAGGCGGTGAAGAATGTGCCCGGGGCGTACCAGCCGTCTGACCAGGTGCGGGCCGTGCTGCTAACTGTCTGCACTCTGTTGGTTTGGGAAGGCGACTGATTTCAGAAAGCTGATCGATACGAAGGTCGAGAAGGTCAAGGGGACTGATTTCAGAAAGCTGATCGTCGGGACACAAGGACCAGCTCATACGGCAGTTCAAAGAGGCTGTTTGGGTATGTGCTTCAGAGACTCTTGTTTCTGATTGTTGAGAAGATTATCTGCAATTGTGTGCTGTAGATGCATTTGCTAGGTGCTGAGTTCCTTAACCAAAGATGCGCACAGAAGCTGTTTAACCAAAGATGCTGAAGAATGTGTCTGTGTGATCTCAAAGTGCCTGGCCTTTTGTGTGTTTGTGCTCTGTCTCTGCAGGAGGTTCACCATGCAGGTCAACCGATGCCTGGTGACGAACAAGAGGAACTTGTTATGACCAGCACCCAGAACAACATCCAGACCTGACAACATCCTAAATATAGTATATGCCCATTGACTATGAAGCCTATAGTTGAGTTGGAAAATCCTGTTCGCTGGTAAGCAGTCAGTGCCTGGTTTTATTTTCATACTCTACGAAATTTCTGTTGTCTTTGTAGTCAGATCTTAATTCAGTTAAATTCAGAGATGCTCCTAAATTCAGTCATGCTCAGAACTTGTTCTTCACTCATGTGTATAGATTGTTGTCGCAGTATATGTTGCTTTACTCTAAAAACATCCGCTTGTTGCATTATACTCCCACAGACAGTAGAAATCTTTTTCATTTCAGAACCTAATGAATGCTATCTTGTTTCAATTTATTCTGGTGGCGTCCTAGAAACATCAATTTATTCTTGCATACAAACGTTGCAGTGTTGAAATGTTTGTGCTGAACTGCATAGAGTACAATTGACAGTAAGTGGAGTGACATGATCAAATACAGTGTTAAGATTCAGCCCTGAATAATTAACATACTCCTGTCATTTTAAGACTCAGCCCTGGACAATTGACAGTTATACTCCTGCCAATTGACAGTAAGTAGAGTGGGATAATCAAACGTTTGTGCTGAATTGCATATAGTATGTTTAATTAAATCATTGAAATTGACAGTGTATAATTAAATCTTAGTTAAATCCTGGATAACTGACACTAAGATTCAGCCTTGTATAGCAGTGACAGTGTAATCTTAATTAAATCTTACAGCATGTACAGTTGTACACCTGTCATTTTAACTGGATTTCTCTGAAATGAAGGCATAATTGCACTGGCCTGTCCTAGATATAACTCATTTTCTAGGTTTACCTTCGGTAACATATTTCTCTGAAACATTTTTCTTCTACTTTCATTGAGTAACATAAATTAGACCTATCATTGGTGTGATATGCAGGAGTACTTCTTATATTCTGTGTCATCTTTTACTCCAGTTCTTATAGTATTTGGAGTACATTGCCTGGTGTTATACTGCTTGCAAGATTAGCATAGGTTCAGAAATGGGGACTAAAAAACTGTGATTTAATACTCCAATTCAATTCAATTTCATTTTCAAGTTTCAATTTCAGTAGCAGAGGCAGAGGCTAAAAAATCTAGTACTTGTTATTATATGATTTATTCCAATGCTTTCAGTGGGGAATGTTTTTTCAGAGCAAGGAGCAGCAGCAATTTCAGATTCTTTGAGAAAATTTCAGAGCAAGGAGCAGCAGCAGCAACCTGTAACTTCTTCAGAGAAGAACTCGAAGGCAGGGAAGCAGCAGCAGCTCGAGCTCCACCGGCTGCAGGGAGAAGCAGAAGCATGAGCTCGACCGGCTGCAGAAGCAGAAGCAGAAGCATGAGCGCCGCTGTTTTTGTTTACCGGAGGAGCTACCGTGACGAGCTTCAGCGGCGGCAAGCAGCGACTGGATTGGGAGGGGACGGTGGCGATTCAGTTGATTCGTGGCTTTCCGACAAGCGTGGTTCGAGGCGGGCGTAGCTCTCGGCGCGGGGGAGCTCGGACTGGCTCGGGGAGGACTGAGGTCGGCCGTCGGCGTCGAGCTCGTGGGGGCAGCGGCGGTCGTGGTGGGAGGAGATGGCCTCGATTCCGTTGATCCACGGCCGGAGGCAGCGGAGGAGCTTCAGGAGATTTTTGGCAGGGGATAAGGATCGGGATCAGGCCGGCGGCTGGAGCTCCACTGGCCTGTAGCCTCGCCGGCGGCCGATTCTTCAAGCGCGAGCCGCGCACGCCTGTCGTCGTCTATTTTTGTACAATTTGAAGATGCGCAGGGGGTTTCTTATAAATGTTTCGTAGTTCAAATTTTAGAACCCCCACGACATCTAAATCCGAACGGAGGGAGTAGATCGTTTGCTCCGCTTTTGCTTGCGGCCAGCTGAAGTTGCTCAATTTGTTGCCCCAATCTCAGCTGTACGCTGACTTGACATATGCTGGCGTCAGCCTTCATGATCTCCTCCTCGGCTTTTTTTGCGATGTCCATCGCATCCCTTCAAAGTTTAGTAATTGGCGATGGACACAGGATTATTATTAGAATAATACTGTATAAACTGGAGCTTTGGGCTGGAGGATAAAGGTTGATTACCGAATCAAAATTTCTGGAGACATTGAAACTTGGACCTGAAGCAACACCCGTCCTTGTAAGTAATGCAGCATCAGATGTTCAAGACACATTTTCTGCATCAAATCATGGTTTTGAGTCGTACATATGAATTCTCGCTACAGAGGTAAAAGAAGCTCTCTGAAAAAGGCACAATATTTCAGTTAATAAATTGGCACTACTGTATATTTTTTCTTGTATTTTCATCTCTTGTAGCTAGTTTTATCGACCAGATTTGCTGTTCAAACCTCATTCAATTCAAATCGATACAGTTCTGCACTCGTCATCTCACTAGATATTTGCATCTTCTGCATTAGTTCCCATTAACTTTGCACAGGAGCTAATAACTGTGAACAATCAACTTCATGTAGAAAAATACTATTTACCTTTGGAAGGTGGGAGGAAATTATATCGGACACCATAGCTTCTGCACTTCGTTGACGTGGAATAACGTCTGAATTTCTTCTCTCCAAGTTCTCCAAAATCCTTTTCTTGTCCACGTTAGCACCCATTGAATATGAGGGGTCTGCAATTTGTGTACTTCAGGAATGTTCCAGTTGATGGTTCCACACAGTTGTATAATTAACCACCGGAGACAAGAGTTCCAGGCTTACAATATTATACCCAATGGCGACTAACAAATTTGGGAAATACAGTAGCCTACTAGGAACAAATGTTAAGAGGCTATCAATTGGATGGAAACATGCATAATGCTGCTACAACGGTAAATGATCCCAACTATGATGCATGTAAAACATGACGAAGTACAAACGATAGTTCTGTTATTGGCCAGTTTCACATTGACAGGTGGAATATAGAGACCATTCTGTACCTATGTGTATGAAAACTTCGGCAACTTGATTATGCGTCTTCTGTATATGATGACGGACAGTTTCCCCGATATCATGTGCTGCACTGACACTCAAGAAAGGATATACCTGCAATATAATAAATATCAGGATCAACTTAAGGCTATCAGCATTTATCTGATTCTAGACTGCGCGCCTAAGTGCCCTCTGCACGACCAATCAATCATCATAGCTCTAGACTTCTAGTATTGAAAAAATTCTCACACAGCCAATTATATATTTTTTCTCCCGCCGCAGTCGGTCTCGTTGGTTAAATTTATGGTCAAAGTTGGACCTCGGGAAGCGCGGGCGCACTATATTTTGGAATGGAGGGAGTACGATAATTAACGTAGGTTGTTCGTTACTTCAGCCCCGTTCACATCACTCAGGGGAAGGCCTCCAGCGATCGTTAACTATCCCCACTCACCCCTCGTTCTCCTCCCCCCTGCTTCTTTTTTTTCCTGGAAACTAGCGATTGTGGGAACTGACCGCACGAGAGGGTGGTCTTCGTATTCTTTTTTTCCTGGAAACTAGCGATCGTTAGCAGAGATTTGTAACTGTGCGCCTTATATTATGGAATTGCATGCAATTCCTAATACACCCAACATATTGGGAAGGAGGGAGTACCTCGATATGCACATCAAGATACAAGGAGGTCCCAGCTTTCCTTCCCCTCAACCGATGGCACCCCTAACATTATGTCAAGAATGTTAATTGTCACTTGAGGGTTTCAAGTATACAACAGCACATTGTTGCGGAGAAAAATGAAACTTCAGGGAGTAGCTAATATTGTACCTTTACACCATCAACCTTCACAATTGTTTCCTTGATTGGTTCTAGAAGCGATGGATCAACAGCTGCATCAACAAGCTCTAGTGTACTGCAAGTTAAGTTCGAAGAACGTCACCATCCATAGCAACATCAAAATTGTAAGACTCGTGTACACTGAACTGTAAAAGAATATAGTATGCTTAGCTATAAAACCTTGTATTCTATGTGTTTGATTTAGCAGGAAGTTATGATCATAACAGTATTACCACAGAAGAAATGAGCACATGGTTCGTGACCGGGAGGATGGAGGCTTGCAGCTCCCGCGACCTGGAGGGCGACTCGTCGCCCGCGGCCTTGCTGCCGGCATCCCCGTCGCCTGAGCTCCTTCCCGAGGCTGCACCGCCCGCCGCCTCCTCCTCCCCCTCCCCGCCCCCTGCGCCAGTTCCGGTGCTTCGGTGGGCCGACCTCGCGGAGCAGGATGACGAGGCCACCGGCCGTCCGATCGTGCGCCGGGACCCCCCGGCCCGGCCGGCCGTGACCCGCATGGAGAGCGAGCGACCGTCCCGGCGTGGCTGCTCAGACGCTCTCTCGCGGTCGCGCCGGCACGCTGCGGCGGCTCCCCCGCCGACGCCCGAAAATAAAGCCGCCTTGGGATCCCTGACCGCTCGCCGCCGCAGCGCTCCGGCGTGGGGTATCGCGGGGCGGTCCGACCAAGGTCGCGCTCGCGTTTCGTCGCGCTCCGCTGTGCCTGCTGCCTTCGCCGGCACGGCCGGAACCCCACCTCGCCGCCCGGCCGCCGCACCGGCTAGCTCCCCGATCCTCATGCGCAGCTCCCCATTCAGACCATTCATCGTGTCCTTCGGCTCTTCGACCCTCCGCTTCTCGCACCGTCTCACGCCTCGGCGCCCATGGCCCGTTCCTCCCTCCTCCCTGGCGCAGGCGCTGGCCGTGGTGGGGGTGGCGGCGGATGGGGAAACCCTCGCTATCAACCCCCTGCCCTGCTGGCTGGGTCGCATTCAGGTGGGCCGGTCGCGGCCTGGGCCCAGCGCGCCCTTGTGGGCCGAATCTTGCTCGCGTCGGGGCATCCCACCTGTGGTCACTAGTGGGCCGGCCCATCCAGGTGGCCCCTCGATATGGCCTCCGACCGGTTTCCCTCGGCAACCATTACCGCATCGGATCCCCGAATCCGCCCCCGAGACCCTAGCCATCGCCGCCCGGTCTTCCCTCCCCGCCGCCACCCCACCCAGCTCCCTCCCTGCGCCGTCCTCATCCGCGCCCATGTCGCGCGACTGGGGCGACGAAGGGCCGCGCCCCAAGCGGCGCTCCGACGACCGCAGGGACTCTTCGCGGCCCTCCCCCGACGTTGTGCGCCACGAAGAGGATCTTCGCCGGCAGCTGTTGGCACGCGACGGCCGGCGCTCCCCGACCCACTCCGACCGCCGCTCCCCGTCGCGCCGCTCTCCGACGGGCTGACCCCGGGGCTGCTCCCGGTCCCGCTCGCCCGCTCCTGCCACCGACTGGAGGATTCAACGCCGCTGTTCCCCCTCTCCGCCTCGTCGCCGGGACGGCAGCCGCTCCCCAGTCCGCGGGGGCCACTCCCGTTCTCCTGCTCACACCGAACAACAGTTGCAGCCTATCCCCAACGCCGCCACCCGCCGATACGAGCCATCCCGCGGCGAGCCAAGCTTTCCTCCAAGCACCAGCGGGGCTGGCCGGGGCTGGCAGGGGAGCAAGAGGAAGAAGAAGAAAAGGTTGGGCCACGGCAATGGCTCGGCCCTGCCCGCTGGTCCCCTGCGCGATCCGGCGGCCCCCGCGTCGGCTGCCCTGCTCCCCGATAACCGTGCCGCCGACCTCGTCAAATGCTTCAACTGCGGCCTCGCTGGACACTCCCAGGTGGCATGTACGCATCCTCAGTGCTGCTTTGTGTGCTCGGACCCCGGCCATCCGGCTGCCCTATGCCCCAACCGCCCGATGTCGAAAGAGTTGATGATGTACGGGCATGGGATCGAGGGCCTCGGCTACTTCCACATCGAGGTGCCTGACATCCCTCCGCCTTCACCCTTGCTTCTGGCGATTGTCACCGTGCGGGATGGGGTGGCTTCTCCGGAGATGATCGAGGCGGAGCTCAACCACCTCTACCACTGCACCTGGGACTGGCAGGTCACCCTACTGGTTGACAACCAGTTCTCGGTAGTGTTCCCCGACGCGGTCAGTCACGGCTACGGCACCCACAGCGGCGACATCACCCTCGCGCTCAACAAGCTCGTGGTGGACATCTCTGTGCCTGTCCGAGACCCCTTGGCAGTGGTCGTCCTGGACACGGCATGGATCCTCATCGGCGGCCTCCCCGACATCGCCCGCTCGGAGAGGGTCATTCGGAACATGTCCTGCATCCTCGGCAAGGTGGTCGTGGTGGACGAGCTTTCCCTCCGCAAGGAGGAGGAGGTGCGGGTCAAGGTCAAATCCCTTGACTCATCCAAGCTCCGTGCCACGATCCGTGTGTTCTTCAACGACCAGGGTTTCGACCTCCGGATCTCTCACGAGCCGCCGAACCACATTGGTCGCCCCCGCATCCCCGACGACAGCTTCTTGGGGGATGGCCCCGATGGTGGGGGCATGGGGGCCATCGCAGCGACCGTGACCCCCGCCACGGCCGCAACTCCGGCTCAGAGGACAACGATGAGGAATGCGAGGACAGTCCCCGCCACGAGCAGCCTCCCGCCTCGGCTGCCAGGGGTAGCGCAGGGGCCGGCCGATCCCACTTCTCGGCCCCTCCGCTTCCCGCTGACGGCAACGACGCATCTGATGCGAGCCTCCAGGTCTTCCCAGCATCATCCCCGCGCTCCCCAGGTGGTACTCACTCCGGCATCCCCACTGCGCTCTCAGCTGAGGCCGACTCGACGCCTGCCGCCCAGCTTTCGCCTGCTGCTCCTACACCACCCGAGGTGGAGGGGAGTGACCGGAACCGGGACCCACCCCCCTCGACCCCTCGCCCCCAGCTCGGCTTGAAAGACCTGGGGGTGACTGATCCCCCTGGTGCCGATTTGACCCCGACCCTGCTGGCTCTGGACGTCGTCAGGATCGCGTCTCCTCCGGCCCTGCTCCCATCCACATGCACCGCCCTAGGTGGGGCGTCGGCGGTGGTGAACACCCCTGTGGCCGCCCCCCCCCCACCTCGGACTGCGGCCTACTCCAGGCGGGGCAGATCGACCTCGACCCCGGTGACGTCCTCTCGCCGTAGTGCTCGGATCGAGGCGGCCAGGCCGAAGGGTAGCCCAGCTCTGCCTATCCCCGAGCGGGCAGAGCTCCGGGCCGCTGCCCGGAACCTTGAGCCAGGTACTCCATCCATTCCAGCTACTCCCGCTACTTGCTCGTTCTCTGCTCTAGAGTCGGCACCGCTTGGCCACCTCGCAAAGGTGGTTGCGGACTCGGCCATCGTGTTCAGGGGAGAGATTGAGCCCCCGTTAGTTCAGATTGAGGCGATTCGCGCTCGAGAGATCCTCGATGAGCGCCTTGTCGAGGCCCGCGCGCGCCTGCAGACCTCCTCGGGGCCTTCCTCCGAGGCCACCCCAAGCGCTCAGTCGTGTGCGGTGGCCGATCCCGCTGAGATCCGGGGCCGCACCCGCTCCCGCACCGCAGCCCTCCGCGCATCCCGAGTCTTGGGGTCAAGCAGCCCCCCGATGGTCTCGTGATGCGTACCCTATTCTGGAACATCCGCGGCTTCGGCCAAGATGGCCAGCACCGCCAACTGATAGAGTACATGCGCAACGAACGAATTGACATTGTGTCCATCCAAGAAACGATGCATACGGAATTCTCCCTATCGGAACTCGAGTGTTTGAGCTCCGACTTATTTGCTTGGCACTGGCTCCCTTCTAGTGGGAGCACGGGCCACTCGGGTGGCATCCTTCTAGGTGTTAAGGATGCCACCTTTGAGGTAGGAAGCATGGACCGGGGCGAGTTCTTCGTTAGCATGGAGATCTTCGAGCGACCCTTAACTTCAAATGGGCGCTTTGAGGCCTTCCTCGCTGAGCTCCGCAGGAAGGTTGCGGCCGCCCAGCTGCCGGTGGTTGTGGGCGGCGACTTTAACCTCATCCTGACGGAGGAAGACAAGAGCAATAATTTGGTTAACTTCCCTCGGATGCATATGTTCAATGACTGCATCGCGGACATGGGGCTTCGCGAGCTAGATAGAGTCGGGGCCAGGTTCACTTGGACCAACCGCCAAGCGGAGCCTACCCGTTCAGTCCTCGACAGGGTCTTCGCATCTCCTGAGTGGAACATTCGCTGCCCCCTAGCTTCGCTCCGAGCGATTACTCGGATTGGTCCCGATCACGTCCCCCTTCTCCTCTCTTCGGAGAACGAGCGCCCCCCCTTTCGCCCCGCTTCCGATTCGAAACCTTTTGGTTGCGCCAGCCTGGGTTTGCCGCTGCAGTGGTCGCTCGGTGGCGCAAGGCACGCGAAGCCCCCCATCGATCCCTCTCGGCCATTGACTCCTGGCACTTCTGTGCAAAGCGGTCACGGCAATTCATGAAAGGATGGGGTGCTAACGTGGGCCGGGACATCCGGAAGCGAAAGAAAGCCCTCCTAGAGGCCATCCAGCCCCTCGATCTCCGTGCTGATGCCGTGGGCCTCTCGGCCGAGGAATGGATGCGAAGACCCTGTCGAGGACCCTGGAGGACAAGCTCACGTAAACCTGGGAATAGTTTGTAATCCAGATTAAACCCAGCCCAATCCATACAGGTATGAGTCCAACAGCCAGACCAGACCAAACCAAACTGCAAATGCTATACTCCAAACCAATCCAAACTGTACATATTTTCAAGCCAAACCCATCCAAACCATTCCCCACTTACAGTTTGAACCTAAAGTTTCAAACCACCGAGCATTGGAAGGGTGATTAGCTGCTGCTGCTGCATGTTACTCACCACCACAACGTACGTACATAGAAGTAGAACAAGCTATAATGCTAGATACTAGCACTGTATGTGACGAGCTGCACTCAATCCATCATGGTATAAGACGAACTTGTTCGCACTGTCCGACCTCGGTCGGACAACTCGCCGGTGCCGCACTGTCCAACCTCGTCGGCCAACTCGCCGGCGCCGT